TTATCTATTTTTCATTGCATCCATCATTTTTTCAAAAATTGGTCAAGTTATAACTTCCCTAAAAGGAACCAATACATCATAATTTGCTTCTTTAATCTCAAAATGACGTTTAGAAACTACTTCACACTTATTCTTTCATAGATGTTAAGAGCTTTTTTAACGAGAATATTTCCACTAACTTTGGGATTACTCCCACTTACTAAATGGTGCTCCCTTTATTACTATTTTCATTATTATTGTTATTCATTAGATAGAGTTATAAATCTCCACCAATATCCTCATATAATGGAATGGCTCCTTCAAGAGTTAGTTCTTTAAATTCTTACAACTTGTATAGTTCAAGATCATTCTTAATTTCACTAAGACTAGAAAAATATTCTTCTAGAAAATCCACATTGAGACTCTATTTCAGTCATTCTTCTATTAAGAGATTCACCATACATCATATAGCATTTAGAACAATCATGGTACCTTATAATGATACATTTTGTTGCTCTAAAAGCCAATTTTTCATATTTACAAGAAGAATTATGAGCATACCCAATTGAACCCCAAGGTTTAAACTTTCCTAATTAGGTCTTTCACCTTTTCATAATTCATAGGTATTGAAATAATAGACTTTAAGGCACTTGATTTAAAATGGAAACTACAATTAAAAGAGCATCTCTCCATAAGTAAATTGAGAGATTGGCTCATAGATCTTACCATGTCTAAAAGTATATGACTATTTATTATCATCATATCATTTCATTACAGAATACTGTGAATAGTTAATTACATACTTATTCTTTTTTTTTGCATGCAAATATTTAAATTGATCTAATAAACATTCTTGAAAGTTTAGAGAACCTTAACGTTCCTCTCTTGTTGATTTTTAACCTTTATAAAAAGAATGTTTAAAATAATTTAAAGTTTTTAATCTTTAAGACAACAAATATATTGATCTATACCATGAATAATCATCAATCATACCAAGAAAAATAAAAGGCTTAATGGCATGACTTCGCATTTATAGGTCCATAAATATATAGATGGATTAAATTTAAAGATTGAACTACCTTTCTTGTTTTACCAAAAGGTTTAATGTAGACTTTTCCTACAAGGTAAGGTTCATAGGCAAGTAGGCTAATCCTTTTAAAAGAATTAAATAAACCTTCTTCAGCCAACCTTGTCATTTTACCTTGGTTGATGTTACCCAATCTTTTATACCATTTAATAAAATCATATTTATTATCAAAGTAAGATAAATATAAAAAGCATACTATTATTATATTTTAAATCCAATGTGAAGAAATCATTGTTCAAATGACCATGGCCATAAAACTTATTTCCCAAATAAATATACAACTAATTTCCTTCAAAATGAAAAAAAAAATCATAACTTTAACAAAACTAAAAACTAAAATATGTTTTATTGAATTGATGGTGCACACAACATATCCTATAAAAGTAAGGTGTGCCAGTCATGCAACTTAAGTTGGTAGGTTCCAACACTAAGGACCTTAAATGGTCTCATTTATTATGGTAACATAATGGTTACTTGTCAAAACTTGATTGCAATATACAAATTCTATTGTCTCGAATTATACGTTTTGTTGCTCATGAGTCTACAATCTAACGAGTAATAGAATAAGCAACAAGAACATGTAAACAAATATAAGTGCTAGCAGAGCTGGACTTGGGTTGGTTTTTTTTTTTTTTTTGCTTAGTGCAATCACAAGCAAATGACCCAATTTTCCACAGTGGTAGTATTTGACTTTGTTGATGTTCTTCTTTCCACGTTTGGCTTTTGGACACTTAGTAACATTGCCATCCTTTAGTGTTAAATTCTGAGTAGTTTTTTGCTCAAATCCATTTTGCTAATTTTAGTTGGACCATTTCCTCTTTGTGCCAACCATCACAATTTACATTAGCAATAGCCCAAATCACCTCTTTGCACTCCCACTCAAAGCTCAAAATGATGAGATATATCATGAAAAGTATTCACATTATCATTATATGTTAGCACCAATTTCACTTGACTCTAAAAAGTCTCAAGAAGGGACCTTATAACTAACTGAATTGTTGTTCATCAATGAGCTTATTTCCAACCACTTTTAACTCCCTTATCATTGCAGAGATTACCTTTAAATGTTCTGCTATAAGTGTGAAGGTTTTATAACATATTGGTGAAACTTAACTTTCAAGGCTCAAAACCTAATTGTAATTGTTCCACCAAATTTAAATTTAAATTTCAATTAGTACCAAAATTTTAAGTAGTTTGAAAAGTCTTATACTCTCTAATAACATCATCATGCATGCAACTTAGCATAGTCAAGCGTACACTGTGATCCTTTTTAATCCAACTTTGGTAGTTTAAGTCTTTCTTATGTTGGGTAGCCTTTAAGTCCTTCTTATGTTGGGTTTCATTCTTTTACTTAGATGAATATATGCTATTGGTTATAGTTTCAAGAATCTCTTTTTATTTAGAAAATAATGAATCTTCCTATGCCATATATCATAATTATTGTCATTAAACTTTTATTTTAAATCCATGATTGCATTTTTTGGTTGATATTGTCTATATCATTCATTCGCAAAATTCTAATTAAGCACCTTATCTTATTCTAAAAATAATAAAATATCAAATTTCTTCTTATATACTAAGATTGAAAATTCCACTTGTTAGATCCATAATCATCTCTTAGTATATAAGCTGAAATAAATTATCCAACTATTTAAAATAAAATATAGGGTCTCATTCTTTTTATCCATATTATGTAATGCTTTTCATCATATACATAAAATTAAATAAATCATGGCATTTGATTTAATGACATGTAAGAAAAAGATATTCCATAATATATATCAATATTCTAAATATTAATGCCATACTTATCAATTATTGGACCTAAAAATTATTTTTTAGTAAGATTAATTAATTAAAAATATATCATCATAGAGTACTTCGCATTTTTAAGATTCTAAACTACCTCCCACTCAACAAAAGTACTCATACACATGTTTCGATGTGTGAGAATGAATTTTAAAAATAAATATTATAAATTTTTTATAAAAATTACAAAAATATATGATGGTAATTTTTGAAAAATCCAAAAAAAGAAAAAAAATTTTTGAAAACTTCGGTGAAAAAAGTGTTCTAAAAACGTGCCAAAAAATGCCCTTACGTGCCACTATTGAAAAATAATTTTTTTATTAGATAAACTTTTTTAATTCATCTATCTTACGGACCAAAACCTTAAATCCTTAATTTTCATTAATCACAGTTGAAAATTTCTAATAATGTATGCCTAGAAAGCTTATGAGACAAATATTTTAACCATATAAATTTTGTGCCTTGAAGTTGAAGCATGTGAGAGAAATATATAGTCAACTTTTTTAGGTATGATTATAAGTTTTTCCCAAACCATAAGTGCTTTTAATATCAAACTTTTACCACAAATTCATCTAAGGTATATATTTTTTTAAAAATTTTAGTCAATAAGCATGTGCTCAAAAATTCAATCATTCCAAGTTATTAAAAAAAATTCAAGAATGTAAAAAACCCGTAAAAATAAATATAGAAAACTAATATACTAATGCTCAGATATCACTATAAGAATAACATTATATTAAGAACCTACTCTAATTCTTATTTAAATTCCCAATATCAAATTATCAATACTTGCTTTACGAATCTACGAGGATCTACTTTTCATTCTACTATTAATTTTTTTTTTTTTTATCTTTTTAGTTTATCGAATAATTATAAGAGTTGTCTACGAATTTTTACATTCCAAGTCTTAGGGTTGTGGATTGGTATCCAATGAATGAGCAAGATAAAGTTTAGGAGAGAGAAGTTTTTACTAGATTAATTGGGATTAATACTTATTAATTTCTACAAGAACATAGGCATGTTTATATAGCATATATATAAATATATATTTATTTATATATATCAATCTCATTGGAAATAAACCTCTAATAGCACTCTGATGTGAAATTTTACTACGAATAAATTCTAACTCAACTGATATTGGTCATTAAATAATGCTTATATGGATGTACTAATGAGTTTGAATCCCTTTAACCCAACTCATACTACAACAATACTATTTATGAAACTCGTGATTGAATTTGATGTCATGAGTTAAATGAGACAACTCTATTATAAAATTATTCTAAGATAGAAAAATTTTATATTTCATTTCTCCTTAAAAGTAGGAGTTAAATTTCAATATTTTAAAATTTTATTTTTATTTTTTACATTTTAAGTAACAACAACTCCATTTATCTCATGTTTAAATAATTAAAAATTTTATTTTTATTTAATAAAAAATTTAAGTTAATAATAAATTATCTATTTTTTCAATATTTCACCGCATAGTTAATTTGCGTAAAACTAATTATTACTCAAATTTATGACAGAATTTTTATATCCGCAATTAAAGAGTATGCTTTTTGTATATATATGGATCTGTTTGGCCCGGTGAAGTTTCTATAGCGAGTGTTGCTAAGGTAGAGGTATTTTAAAAAATGCTATAGAAAAAAGTTAAAAAAGTGTTTGGAAATCTTGATATAGAAGTGTTGCAGAGTGTTGAAAAAACTGTTCGATAATATTGTTGTATATTTTTAATAAATAAAAAATAAAATAAACAACTTTATTAGTTTTTTATGAAATTTTATTAAATTTAATCACAAGTTTTTAAGTAAAAATTAAATATAACAAAGATATATTTTGTTCATTATAATAAAAACAAATAAATTCAGAAGAAAAATGAAGAAAACCAAAAATAATATAATCCTCTTTATAATATAATTTTATAAATTATTTAAGAGTAAAGTAAAAATTTTATAAATCCACCTATAGCATAAGCTAAATCCTTCTGCTTTTGCAGTACACAAGCTAAGCTATGCACATATGCCATTGATCTATAAATTTGCTAGTTTTAATTTTCAAATCACTTTAATAAGAAATTTGAAGTAAGCATTGGAAATTAATTTCCTACATGGCATTGCAGGGACCATTCGTGTATTTTGCCGAGTGAGGCCCTTAACGTTTGGGGAAAATTTAGGACCTGTTGTAGCATTGGATACAAGTAACCTCCTTCTAAAACTTGCTGATAACAAAACTAAAACATACACCTTTGACAAAGTGTTCAACCCCGGTTCATCTCAAGGTAACCTTCAAATCTTCCTGTTCCTTCATTTCATCATCTGTTTAAACTACGTTTTGCATATCCAAATCTTCACAATGGATTCCATGTCTTTGAATTTCAGATGGAGTTTTCTCTGAAGTTGAACCAGTCATCAAATCTGTCCTTGACGGTTACAATGCATGCATTTTTGCATATGGTCAAACAGGAACCGGGAAAACCTTCACAATGGTGACTGACTGTCTACTACCATAGACTACTACCTTTTTTATTATAATTATAGACCTACTTATATTCACAGTTTACCTGCCTCAGTAGCTTACACAATCCATGTTATAAAGAGATTTGATGTTATCAACAATTCAAACGAGCTGATTCTTGACGCCCAAACATACAGGAAGGTACTTCGGATTCCCCAGGAATAGTGCCCCGGACAATTGAGACTTTGTTTAAGCAAGCAGTGGATAGCAACCATTCTTTCCTTGTAACGTTCAGTATGCTTGAGATTTATTTAGGAAATCTCAGAGACTTGCTAGTACCACAACCTATGAGGACAACAGACCCTCTGCCACCATGGTGAGTATGAAATACAGTTTGTTGAGTGCATTACTGCAAATGCCTGCTGATTGGATGCTGTGATGTTTCTGTGCAGCCTTTTGATTCAAACAGATCCCAAGGGAGGAACTAGAATTGAGAACCTAGTTTCCATCCAAGTAAGTGACTTCCACCAAGCTTTGAAGCTGTATAGATTAGGATGCCAACTCAGATCAACTGCCTCAACAAATTCAAACACAACTTCAAGCAGATCCCACTGGTAATAATTTTTACTGATAAGATTTTCAAGTAATATTTAAGGCTCAGATTATCCAGCTCATTTCTAGTCTCTAAAGGACCTGAGCTTGAGAACCATTACTGGCAGGCAACTGCTTTTGATTTCTGATACTAATTCTGGGAACTGCAGAGTATATAGCAATACTATCATTGTTCTTGCTTTAAGTATGTTGTGTCTGTTGCTCCTCTAGCATGATTCGCATCTCAATTACTTGCTTCGATGCTCCTGAGAGGCGACAAGAAACAAATAAAATTTGGTTAGTTGACCTTGGAGGAAGTGAGCGTGTGATGAAGACAAAGGCATGTGGGAGAAGACTTGATGAAGGAAAAGCCATTAATTTGTCTCTTTCTGCTCTTGGAGATGTAATACATGCTCTTCAAAGGAAAAAGACCCACATACCATATAGGTAAGCCTGAGAATAAGTACGAGTTCCTAGATAATGATCCACCTGATTTAATGAATCATAGATTTAACCCTAAATCACCAGCTTTTTTCTACAGGAACAGCAAGCTGACACAAGTTCTTAAAGATTCCTTAGGTAACTGATTCTTCTTCACCAAATTCCATTTTTCATTAATCTAATTGTTTTATCTAAGTTGAATTCTAGAGCTAGAATGATAATTGGTAAACCTAATCTCTCTGCACTATATACCTTGGAAAAATTATAGCTTCTATTCTTATCTTTCAAGGGTTACCATTAGGGAGCATTTGATTCACGGAATATATGATTCCCTTCAAAAATTCTACTTTTCATAATGTGATTCCAGCATTTGGCTCGCAAAATCTAAAATTCTCTCGAATCTAACATTCCCAGCAGTGTCAACAAATGGGAAAATAATTCGGAATCAGAAACCCTCTTCTTCCTAAGAGTTTTTAAGATTCCTGCTAGAAAGTATAATTTATCACTTTTGCCCTGAATAATTGGTATTTCTAGTCTGTTATAACTTTCAATATCACAAAAATTGCATCATGAATCAACACCAAATCTGACATGGGCATAATAAAATATTCATTTTCAATTGATTAAAAAAATTGGTTCAATATGCCACGTTTCTCATAATAAATGTAGTCATTTAAATAAATGTACTACGTTTATTTTCTAATAATAGACTACGTTTGATAATAAAAAATGTAGACTATTATTTAACATGACAATGCTAGAAAGGATCTCCCCCCATCTTCCCCTGATTCACTTTCAGTTTTCATAAAAAAGCTATACTTGGACGTATGAAATGAATCAAATCAGTGGAATCATATAAACAACCACACACGACACCGAATCGGTGATTAGGAGAATCTGACTTTGAGGGTTAGCAACTTTAATGGAGAATTACATACTATGTACTTCTCAGAACATAGCGGAGGTTCATGGGTGAACACATCAGAGCTTGAATTTCAAGAGTAAGATGATTTTGGATATTGGCCGTCAATTTTCACTAGTTGCAGCTGAGTATTCAAATCGAGAATGGTTGTGATTAACAAATGTTTTTTATTATAGAATTCTTCATTAAGAAATTTAGGATTTTGCATACTTGGTCTATAAAATTAACAAGATGTATAAATATATAAATTAAATTAATTAAACCGCTTGCAAGTTAAATAAATAGATATATTATGAAAATGTTAAATAAATCAGATATTCATAAGTTAAATAAATATATTATGAAAATGTTAAATAAATGATTATATGAATGTCATATGTTATTCATGTATCATTAAGAGCAATATAATAAAAAAATTCATTAGGTACTCTTAGATTCAACAAACCAAAAACAAAAATCTTACATTCTCTAAGGTAAATAAAACACATGAATCACCCCTTCCCTTTGACTATCACTTTTCCCTGGAATCACTTATCCTCCTAGTATCTAAGAATCTGCGAACCAAACGCCCCCTAAGGATGTTCTAACATGATTATAACAGTCAAAGGAATTCATTAGGGTTCATGTTTTCTCAAAAACAGACAGGGTGATAGAGACAGAATGGTTCAGTTTGTTGGAGTATCTTATATGCGTATAAAATTTTTACATTTTCGTTTCCTCATAGTAGTTCGCTTTTATTGATATTCTCATCTTAATACCTTTAGGTGAAGGTTCAAAAACACTGATGCTTGTACATGTCAGTCCCAAAGAAGGAGATCTCTGTGAAACAATATGTTCATTAAATTTTGCAGAAAGGGTGAAAAGTGTTCATTTGGGGCATGAGGAGTCCAATGTAAGTTACTTGTCTAGTTTCGTATACTCATATAACTTCAAAACTTAATGGTACAAGTATCAAGTTTGATGATGCACAACTAACCTGTTAATGAGATCCAAAACTGTGTTGTGTAGTAATAGTATAACTATTTTAGTAAATTCTAGATCAAAATGCAGAAATTAATGCCAACAAATATTATGCATGTAAATTGTTAGAACAGAGACTGAAGAACAAGTATGGACAAAACAAAGGAGAAAGAAAATAAAACAAAGAGATCTGTGAGATCTCTAGTCATAATATGGATTTGAAGAAGCTACATTAGACCGGACATTTCGTTTTTAAGATAACTTGTTGAAAAGAAATATAAGACTCCATGAAAAAATCTGCTAGGATTCTGCTGCATGAATATCCATTCACATGGAAGAAATGAATAATTAATGTTGAACATCAACACTCTAAATTATTAACGGGCATTACCTGGAGGTTTTGAAATGGTTGCCATCTCAATACCTCATCTCATCATTTGATTCAGAAAACTCTTATATCTCATGATAAATCCTCTTATGAACTAATGGCAATCACTTGAATGAACCATGAAAAATCAGGAAGTAAGAAGCCACAAGGAAGCTGCTATGAAAAATCTGCAGCAGAAGATTGAAAAGATTGAAGATGAACGTCAACATCTTAGAAGAAAGATAAAAAAGTTAAATGACAAATTAGAAGAACTGACAAGGACAGGTCTATCTTTGGAAGAGCAAGAGGAGCTTTCTCATTTATCTAATGAAGGGCCACCTCTTGAACTTGCCTTTACGAAGAACAGGATTGGAAATGTCACAACATCTTCCCAATCACAACTGCCTAGATTTATGAGATCAACTATTTGCAGCAGAAGCAAAACAGGGATGGAGCATCAAACTTTAGTAGGCAGCGATCCATGTCACTCAAGAAGGAAAAGACAATCTCGGCGAGCTGAGTCAGTGACTTTCCCAGTGAAGAACAATTCAGAGTGCAACTCTGACCACAGCATTTCAAGATCTACATGTGCAGTGGAATTGAACAGGAAAACTAGTATCGATAATGACACAGTATACAGCCAAGATGCATCTGATTGTGATATTCAAACGGTTGTATTCCCAGAGCAGCACGTATCACAATTGACATCGAATCATCAAAGGATGGGCCAGGTTAGTCACCCTGAGAAAAATGGAAGTAGAAAACCAAACAAATGCAACTCCACAAAAGTTTTAAAGGCTGATCAATGGCTTGACTTATATAAGGATGAACCTAGTATCAGTGGTTCTCCTCCAAGGAATAACTGGGTTTTAGACATGCCTATTCCAGAGAAGAAACATAGGTCAAGTGGACAGAAAAAGGCAGAGATATTAAGCAATGAGAAGGTATCTATTTATGACTTTGCAATGCAAAGGAATCGTAGTAAAAAGCAGAAGCAGGCTGCATTACAGGTACCTGGAAGGCCTGTTTCCGAAAGGTTGGTAGACAAACCACCAACATTAAAGGATTTATTTGCTGAGGAATCAAGATCTAATTTCATTTCTCCAACTCATGCAACAAAAGGCCAGACAATGAAACACCAAGAAGACTCACTAGACGGCTTATTGATAGTGGACAATCGAGATGGCAGTCTTTCTCCACCTGATTCTTGCTGCGATGGATTAGAACAATTTGATAATGACGATGAATTTTATGCAACACCAATGGTGCAGGCAGTAAAAGACAGCGTGCAATGTTCAGACAGTTCCATGACAAAGATTAGCAGGTACCAGTTCTCCCCATCTGACTTGGATAATAGCATCAGCAACTTACAAGAAATTTTTGGTGTTGTGGCCCAACCATCAGAGCTGGAATGGTACCATAAACAAGTGATGGCTATAGGACTTGCTGGAAAGGAAGACATGGCAGCCTACTCACAATCCTCACCAAAAGAGATTAGACAAAACCTGCCCAAATTGAAACCTCAAAGATCATTATTAATTGACGACAAAAAACAAAAAGACCTCAGGATGACACTCATAAAATCACAAGAAATTACACAGAACAAAGGTAAGAATTTTGAGGCCTAAACCAAAAATGACTCTCATCTCTAACTACATTCATTCTCTACATGTAGCATGCACCTTAAGCTGACTTATGTTAGAACATAAAACCCTAGTAATATGGTTACTAGAGTCTTAATCTACATCTCTATAAATTGATTCTAATGTCTAACATGACTCTCATTTCTAACTACATTCATTCTCAACAAGTAGCATGCACCTTAAGCTGACTTATGTCAGAACATAAAACCCTAGAATACGATTACTAGAGTCTTAATCTACAGCTCTATAAATTGATTCTAATGTCTTTTTCTAGGAGCATGTTATATCCTTAAACAAAAAGTTCAGATTTCATGGGCCACTGCTCTTCTAGGATTGGGATTCCTTGACTTGGGTTTTGATCATGACTTCTTCAATGGTCTAATACTTTGAAGCAGCTGCAGTAGATGTCAGAGTGACAATAACGAATTTCTACTTTGGTCTGCAGTAAATTTGGAGGTTGAGCAAATAATAGGATCAAATGTTTGCACAAAACCTCAACCTTCTTATCCATCTCTTGCATATGCTAAGGATTTAACCCCAGTAGGACAATGCAGCATCTATGCATATTTGGAACATATGGACGTGCCATGAGATAGTTTTTCACTTCATCTTTAAGGTCCTACACAAAGTCTATCTCGAACTCCTTTTCTTCTGGTGCAAAGAAACAAGAGTGACAAAGTTCTGGATGCTCACCAAGTAGGCTGAAGAAACTGTGCAGCTACTGTAAAATATGTATTTCTAAATTAATTTCGTCACATGGGTACTAGGTCAGGTGATTTAGATGTTTCAATATGATAAAACAAATGTCAGATATTATCCTGTTTACGTGATTCATATCTCATTTTATAACTATTCTCTCTAATCTCATCTCATGACATAAAATGAAAACTGAAAGCTTAAATAAATGATATAATAAATAACAGCGACTGCAATGTGCTGCAAAATTTCTTGTTCAGGTCACATTCAAAACTTTAAAGATTTTCTGACCAACTTCATAGCTTGCAACATTTAGCCCACTGAGATAACTCAAAAATCAGACCTCTCTTCTCTCAAAACAGTCCCCTTGTTGTCTACCTGATCAAACTACAAAACAATTCTTTGCTCCTTTTCCTTTTTGATTGGAAAAGAAAACCACCTGTTTCTAAAATCTCACTCAATCATCTTTGACAGGACCAAAAACTTCAAGAGAAATATCATTGAGCAACAGCTTGACAATTCTACGAGACACTAAAATGACAGATGGAAATGTGGATAACGTCCAAAAAGAGAAAAGCAAACAAAGAAACTAGGACCCAACCAATCTATTGGAGAATCAGTTTAAGTCAAAGGATAGGTACAAGCATCTAAAGTTGTGACCATGAACTCGATATAACAACTCCTTTTTTAAGATGCCTTGGAGAAATATGCTGAATTTTTAACTGAATGCTCTTAGAGGCCTATGTTTATTTATTTATTTATTTTTTGCCCTTTCTCCTTATATATTCAGCTATATTACAAGTTTAAGAGGTTTTTAAGTGTAAAAACATAACATCACAAACTCCAGGAATTCGAAGCGATCAAACTGAGGTCCATTAAAGATGGTCCAACATCAGAGTCATGATTAAGTAGTAACAGTTTATCTCATCATCCATCAAAAAGGAAGCTCACTTAATTAGTTCAGCAGATGATCTGCTCGTTCGTATTGAATAGGATTCCATGCATCCTCTCAAACTTGGGATGTGATGTGCCTTCTGCAATGAATTCATGAGCTCTATTACACACCTGAATGAAACTCCAACCCCGCATATTTCCAACACCTTTGTGACTTTGTCCCTCATCATCTTCCCCGTCATTACAGACTTATTCTACCTGCCAGCAGAAGCATATATATATTCCGAGGCTCCAACTTTATCAAATGAAGCAAATCCAACTCTCCCAGCTCAGCATCACCATGAATATATGAGGCTGCAGGAAGAGACTCCCATATAGCTGCAATTAGCTTAAAGGGCATCCGACTAAATAGTTCAAGTGCTTCTCCTAGGCAACCTGCTCGCCCAAGTAAATCGATCACGCAACCATAGTGCTGAATCTTGGGTTCAACCACCTGGATCTTATAGTATGAAATAGCATCGACCCAAGTCAACCAATCCAACATAAGTGCAAGCAGAGAGGACAGAAATGAAAGTGTGATATCCTTGGGTTTAACTTCAGCCGTTTCCATCGGAGAGAACATGTGGAGATCTTGTGTTCCAAGTCCATGGAATGCCAGCGCAAATGTGATGGTAGTCCAAGTTATAACATTCACATTTTCAAATACTTGCAATGCATATATTGCCTGACTTCGCATACATTTCAATTAGCGTATTTTTAAGGGCCTGCATGAGAGTAGACCTGAGTTCCCAAACAAAACGCCTGCACGTCTACAACCACCTTCTGCAAGGAGTAACTGTGCGTCGCAACTTGCGCATCCAATGCTTTTGTAAACAAGCAGAGCCTCAAAGGCAGAGAGAGAGGGTGTCAGCGCAGCTTGTCCTGATCAAGGACTGTCCATACCATGAACCCACGTGCCTGCTCAACATGTTTCAGGTAGAGCAGCGCAACCTAACTCTCCCGTGCCCCCAAACTACTAATCAGCGCACTGTACTTAAGGACGGACCGAAGGCGGATCATTTCTTTATGCACATATGCGGACAAACGCCAGCTGGACTGAGTTGACTCGCCACGTTTTCACAATTTTGGAACCTAGGGCTTTGACCGTGTGAGATTTGCAAATCAAGCTTAAGGCACTTGTTATGAAATTCTAGGAAAAACAAAAAGAAATTATTAAATACTAGATTGATCCCTCACTTCCTCAAGGATTTCTTAAAAATATTTATAAACTTTTTTATTTAATTACTTTTAAAATATGATTTTAAACTAAATTATATTAAATTAAATTTATTTAATAATTTTTATTTTTTATATATATTTAAATATATGCGTTGATATTGGTATAATCATATTTTATCAATTATGAAAATTAAATATATAAATATTAATTATTTATAAATTACATAATAAAAATGTATTTGAAAAATCAAATCAACTCACGTCATTATGTATTTTTGAAATGCTAAATCTTTCACAATAAGGGTTTCATATGCAAAAAAATAAACTATGATATTATAACCAAGAAATCATCATTTGGAACAGTTATAGAGGATTTAATAATAAATAAGTCATCAATGTTGATAGTAAAACTTTATTGTAATATAAAACATGCTTGTACCATATTATTGACAAAGTTAAAACCTTTAGATCCAATGAAAGATCTCGCCAATAAATATTTAGTAATAACCTGTACAATATGTAACAGTAAAATATGTAGGATATTAGTAAATTAAGAAACTTATGTAGAACCTAACATTGAAGTCAAAGATTAGCTAAGCTTAAATCAATACAATCAAACCGGTTGTCTAGCATAAGCAAACGCAATGCCACCACAAGTTGCAGACATAATGACAACGACCAGATATCAGTATATAGAGTATAAGCAATAAAAAAAATTTAGATCAGCTTATTAACTTGGCTTTGCTCAGTCTTTTATAATTTTTTTTTGAATTTTATTGAAATGGTATTTGTTTCAATTAAAAGTTAGAGTGATGTATGCAATTAAGAAGAATTAAATTAGAGATAGATAAAATTAAACGAAAACTCCCAAAACTACAAATAAATCAAACTACAAATAAATAAAGTACATGATCCAAGGTCCATGGAAGAGGAAATATTCTTCTATGTTTACACTACAAATTAAAAAAAAAATAAAAAAATGAAGATAATATATATAATGAAAATGAAAGATGAAAGAACATAAAGTACCGTTGATTGCCAATACCCTTAAGTATTCGAGAAACAAACTCCCAAAATTTGATTGGCTACAAATTAGTTACAAATATGCTTGCCAAACCATTGTATAACCACTATCAAGTAAGGAATTGATTTTAGCAACAAATATAAAAACCAACCTTCTAATCTGTTAGCTTAGTCAACCAAGTACATTGCAAGGCAATAGGTAAAAAGAATCATCTTGAAGGATTACCCTCAAAGAACTAAATACTTATGTTGTGACAGCATCTTCAGGAAATTTTAGCATATAGTAAAAGCATATCTTTACATTAGAACTTGTACGCTTGAAAATTCTCTTTTTATTTGATGGCCTATAAAATTATATTAAAGTTATAAGTAAACACCCTATATGACACATGTAAATCATCAAAGTAAATTTATCATTTTCTATCACTCCATTTGAGAGCACTTACAAATTGAAAAAAGTAGTAAGCAATTAAAAGAGTACCTACGCTTTAGCTTTTTTGGCAACTTCTTTACCAAATGCTAGAGCTCATTTGGCATTATTATGAACGTGAGCCACATTTTCAACGTAATATGCTGGTATTTACTTATCTCAATTGCATTGAGAAGTGGTTTTCTAGTAGACTTATTAGTCTTGGAAAAGATGAATAATAAAACGAAATTTAGAGTAACATTCATGTAGTTGGGCTCATAAATTATGTAGCTTCCATTGGCATTCTCAGCTATATTTACCATAGCATTGCTATAATTAGGTATGTAAAAGTTTCGCATTATGAATTTTTGAGTTTCATTTGGGGTAAAGTCTTCAATTTCCATAAAGTATGCATAAGCTTAAGTGTTGGTAAGGAAACCTTCCAGGTTCAATCTGTAGTTGAACACTCTTTCAGTGCCAACAACTAGTGTTTGCATTACTTTAACAGGTGGACATTCTCTAGTCTTTATGTCAATTTTTTAATGTCTTGATTATTTCTGTTCTAGGGGTCACTTTCACAAGTAAATTTTATCTCCTATCAAGATCAGATTCCCAAATTCTGTTACAAAGATCATATGGTACCTGTAAATGCAAAGTCCATTTCTATACATTAGCATTAATGTCATCAAGTGACTCTATATATTTGTAGTAAAACTAGCCATAGTGCAAAGAAGTTTAACATGTTAAAATTGAAGAGCACCAATTCGTTCTAGTTAGCCTGAATATCTAACCATTTCTTTTGTTTTTGCTGCCTATCTTGCATTAAGAACCTGCAAACCGGAACTAAAAATGTTTCTCAAAAAACATTTTTCAGATACCAAGGCAATGGATACTTAACTCACTTCGTCCTTAGTTAAGGCATCAAAGTTTACTCTAGCTGTAATGTTTAAGAAGAAATTATCCTCATAAATTATGGCATACATGGAAAGATTCAAAAGGCGAAGCTTAAGGCCACCAATAAAACCACTGAAAGCTATCAAGATTAAAAGTGTGAATAAATTAAAACAACATAAACAATTCCAGCAAATAAATAAAGTAATACAATTGATTCATTTCAATAAACATAAACAAAGAATTTAACCTTACCATTCCATGTTTATGTGCTATGGTATCAACATTTAAGGTATCTTTGATTCCAAGCTAGTCACTCGAGCTTGCCTTATCATCTTTTATGCTATTTTTGAAAACATCAATTTGATCTTTGCAAGCTTTAATAAAAACAATAACCAGCACCGAGTTTGACTCAGTAACATTGGATGCAAACAAACTAATCACCATAATCATCGATCTTCATTTAACTAAAAACCAAACCCTTTTTTTAAGAATCAAAAGCAACCAACAACTGAATGCAATCAAACACTTATTCTCAAGAGTTAACTGCTACAAACTCTAAAATCTAATAAGTTCCATTTGGCTTGGCAAGCAAAAAATCAAAATGCATATATAACTAATTCATCAAAGTTCATATCTTTTCATTTTGTACAATTCAATTAAGAACACAAAAACATGAAACCAGCTACAAATTCTTAAACCTATAAATACATATCAAATGCATTACTACCCTTGAGTTAGATCTGTCAAAGTTACAATC